GGGAAGGGAAAAAAAAAAAGAGAGAGAAATGTGTTTGCAAGAATACCTGCCATTCAATCACCACAAAGTCACTAAGAAGTAGCAAACAAAAACACTGAGCCTAGTAAACGGTGACAAATGGTGTTCCTCTGCAGCTGTTACAGTACAGATTTTGGTATGTGAATGGCAGACCTCCCTTTTGTCAGACAAACAAGACAATCTACCATATACAAGAAGGTGAGTTTACAACATTTAGTGTGTTTCCACATTTGACAAAAATTTGCCTCAAAGCCAGTCTTCCAAAAAGTACTCAAAAATAGCCATACACCTCACCGGTCCTTTAAAAACCATTCTGAAGTAGCCCATCTGCCCTACAAATCCAGAAAGTAGGCATGAAGGGATTACACAAAAAATTCTTTCCAGCTCTACCTATCATACTGCTAAAGTTTATGACTTGGTCCATACTAGACTTTCAATGATTAATACATTTCTTCACTTCCTGGAGAGAATTGTCTACCTGTCCATATCCACATCTGCAAGGAATCACCAGAACCCCACCATCAAGACAAAGCTAAGACTGGAATTTCAAACCAAAGATCTGCTCATGTCAAACGTTACATATTCCCACCCTACCATTCATCTTCAATTAGCAGAGAACTACCATTTGATTATTTACCAGTTATTCCCAAAAATCATGAATTAAAAATAAATATTGAAATTATTTTAGAAGTGTGACACACTGCATCAAGACAAATGGTTCGTCTCAGTACATCAATCTAAGTAGTACCACCTAAAGACCACAGAAAATCCATCCAGCAGATGTGATGCAAAGACTTTCCAAAACACTTCCCACACCCTTCCATTTGTCTCTGGAAAATTAAGCTCCTCAGAGGTTTAAATCGGGGGGCCAACTCAGAGAACTCATCTCCTTCCAAGAAGCCGCTACCTCTCATTTCTCTCAGTGTGAAGTCACAGATTGTTCGCTCATGTTGCTCCACACCTTTCCTCATCTGTTTGTGTACGAACAGGAGTGGGGAGAAAGATTTACACCCCAAAACCCTGGCACGCTTCCATCTCTCAAGAACCCTACTTGCCTGGATTTATTGAAGGTACTTAAATCTCAGGTCCCACACAGTAGGCACAAGGCAGGCATTGGAGGAGAACAGCAGTGAAATTAAGTCAAGGCAATACCTTCTGTCCCTCAGTTTCACCTGAAACTCACCAGCTGGAGCTGTCCCGGTGACCCAAAGAGCAGCAACCTCTGTTCTTTGGCACAGGGATCAATTAGTGTAAACCTGGCCATGTTCATACCAGCATCCAAAATGGGGTGGCTGCATTTCAGCTTTCTTTTCAGAATGGTCTTTGGCCTGTGCTAACTTTAACTAAAGCTTTAGTGAATATAGACCAAAAGTATGACAGGAACCAACCTAATCACTTCGCAGTATAGATAAGCACACTCCCAGGCTCAGAAACCTTCCCATTATATATGGAAATACTTGGCAACATCATCTTCATTCTCAGCACACAGAGCCTGCTACAGCTCACTTAATAGGCTCCTGCAGACCACCTGGTTATTCATTTCACCATTGCAAAATAAAAAAAAAAAAAAAAAAAAGAATTGGAAACTATTGAATGCCTCCAAAATTCATTTCTTATCAACAAAAAATTCTAAAAGTTAACACGCAATGATTATAATTTTTATAATTTAACGTTACCATGTGATATCATCACAGGGCTGTGGTTTAAGCCATCTGGATACATTTACTACCTACTTTTATAGTTTACACACACACACACAAAAAGCAGTGAGTTCCTTACGTTTATAATGATTGTTCCTGGAATAACGGCAACAGTCTTATTATCATCCATATGTACTCTCATCAAACCCACCTTAACATAGCTTCTCCCTGGCAAATATACATGAGTATGTGTGCATGTGCATTCTCAAATGCATGCAAAAACGTACGTGCTCTGCCAGTCAAGAATAATGTGGAAATAAAGGCTTTTAAAGAAATTAAGAACAATTACCAAATACAGCAGTGAGCCTCTGACGCTCCTGAATGCAATCTATTTAAAGCAAGACAGATAAGCAGGTGGCATAGAAGAAAAGAAATTTATAAACACTCCCCCACTGAACAGAACATGAACGTACTGAAGAAAAACAGTGCCATCTACTGACAACAGCTGTTTCACTCATAAATCACGTCTCCCGATGGGCTTTTTTATCAGTTTCTCCATGCAAAACTATCATAACCTAAAACTACAGAAAGTGTCACACGAACCAGATTGCGGCACAGAACTGTGAAATTATATACATTTTGTTAGACTACCATTCGTTTTAAAAACTTGCGTGTTTAACTCCCAGCATCAGAAGAGCTGTAAACAATTACTACAAGTTACCTAATCCCTCTACTTCCTTCAAGGCTTTATCTCTGCCACCCATGACATACTTCTGTCCAACCTGATTTTTAAGTATCTCCAATGAAGTATATTTATACCCCCTTCCTACACAGCCTATTCCAGTACGTAGCTCTGCTTTTAGAAAGTTTTGCTAGCACTCAAACCAAACGTTTTTTCTGACATTTAAGGTCTATATTTCTAATCCTGCTAAAACTGCGCTCTGCCATTCCTTTTAAACAGCCTTTTATACACATGGTTCCCCCCTCCTTCCCAGCTTTATTTGCCTAACAATGCCAATTTGTCAGCCATTCTCCATTATCACAATTTACAGATTATCGTTCTTTGTCTGCTCTCCTTTAAACTCAATCCAGTTTGTCCACATCATTATCTAAAAGCAAGGCACCAAACTGGATATAATAATCCAGCCTGACTTTTCTGATAAGAGATGTATGTAATCTGTGTGCAATGACAGGTTATGAAGCTCAAAGCCCAGCTAAGGTTCACCTCTAGAAAACCTACTACTGTACAACTTCTTTTCCAATGAAAAAGATATATCTGATTATTCTGTTCTTGAGCAGTTAATATTACTTGTTACTTATCTACCTCTCTTTGCATGCGTAAGTTGCCAAAGCAACTTTTTTTCCACCCCCCTCAGCAGCCATTAACATTTCTAACGTCATCTCAGTTCTCCAATTCTTTAAGGCATCCTAGCATGAATAGGATAAAAAAAGTTTACAATCATGACAATAAGAAAAAAAAAAAGTAGTCTTTCACAAAATAGATTTCACCCATATATTAAGAAGCTGAGCCACTGCTAAAGAAATGTCATTGACAAGTCCTTTAAAACTTGTACAAGTTTTTAAGTTGGCTATATAGGTGAGAATGTATTCTCAATGCCGTTGCATTCACTTTGTCTATAGAAGACTCCTTTTAATCTTTCCAAGGACTCACATTATTTTCAGATGTGTTTCTAAAGAAAACTGATCACGTTCCCGTTTTCAACACCGATTCCTCTCAGTGAAGTGGGAGCAGCCTTATCAGAGAAAACCAGCGCTCCATCAAGAAGAAACATCTCTTTTCCAAGTTTCATCAGAACTTGCAATCTCCCAGAAAGAAGGACTGTTAGGGCTTATCAATACCAGAAACTGCACTAGGATAACTACGCCAGTACTTTTTTTATCTAGTTATTTCAGATTGACTTCTTGGGTAGATATTCCAGAATCTTTGAATCCAGCTTAGTTTAAAACATGTTCCAAATTCCATAAACTAGAATCAAAATACTTTCTTTGCACCTCTGAAAAATGAGAAGTTGCTCCTCCTCCTCTGTTGTCAGGATGTACCCTACTTTTGGTAGGAACACAGCCCTCCAGCTGCCTCTTGCATCTTCTGCCAAAAGGATCAAATGCCCACAGCCCAACTGCAGCTTTCGGATAATCTTTAGAAAACAGTTATAGTCTTACTATGAAAATCTCCCACACTGAAAATCTGATAAGATCTAACAACAAAATGAGCACCTCTGTGCTTATTACTGACTTTAGTTCTTAGAATGACTATCTTTGAATTGGTTATGGTTGGCCACTGGACTTCCAGAATACAGCCAAGAACTTTTCTTTTTTAAAAATAAAATTTGAGGTCCACCTTCCTAAAATTAGGCAGAATTTCATTTGCATAGCGGTAATGCATTGTATACAGAATATTATAAATTTCCTTACCATCACTTCATAAGTTAGTCACCTTATTCACATGTTACATAGCTAATATGAACAGGTCTGTATTTGACAGTACATTGTGTTGTGCCATGTTTTAATTAAGAAATGTTTTCAGTTCCAAGAAGCAGTAAGAAAAAAAAAAAATCACTTTAAGCATAATTCATATGAGCTTACTTCCTGCTTATTTATCCAAGGTTCAACAATATTGAGCAATGGAGAAAGACAAGTGTATTTTTTCCAGAAGCAGCAAAGCAAAACATCCGTGTAAAATCCCAGCAAGCCTTCCACTCACTTCAGTGGAACAGCAGCCTCTCTCCCTGACCTTACAGGCAAACTTACCCTCTTTTGAGCTAGGAGAAAAGCAACAGGAGTGTGAATAACTTCTAACAAGACACTTGCCTAGCAACTATGAATTGGCTATTTAAGTGTGGTAATTACAGGAAGAATGAGTTTTAAAAATCTGAAACACAGCAGAACAAGAGAATACAGACTGGTTGGTTATCTTTCGCTACAAAATGTCAGGCCAAAGTATTTAGGAGAAAAAGGTGCAATCCGCAGCAAAACAAAGACCACTGGTGATGATGTTCTGGGTAGAGGGTGCTTAATAACATGCAGCCTTACAGGTTAACCGATACGATTTTGTTATCAAGCACTGGAGAAAATGGGTCAGTGTAAGGACAGAGTCGAAGTGAAAGGCTTGAAGTAAACCTTGATGGAAACATTAACTTTCTTCCTGATGCCAATTCTTGCACGCTGTATTGATTTTTTTTGTGCAAACCAGCAACAGAGTTCACGCTCAGTGAATAAATGTTCACACTTTAGTGGGGTTTTTTTTTGGTTTTTGGGGTTTTTTTGTTTTTTTGTTTTGTTTTTTTTTTAACAGCAAACTAAAACGCACGTTCACCGCTGTACCTCATGTGCAGTATCCCGATGAGCGTCGCCGCCAGCTCGGAGGACATCCTGCCCATGATGCAGCAGCG